ACTTCCGCCGTTGTCGCCCTCTCTGTGGCCCTCTCGCGCCAGGCAGTTCGCGTGCTGCAGGGCAGTTTGTTGGGGTCTTGTCATCTGTTGCTGTGTACGATGTTGAAAAGGAAGCATGTGGTCTTTTGTTGTACTTTGACGAGGTCACTTGTTCACTCGATACAAGACCAGCAAATCAAGATGTGCGATGTAAACCCGTCACCGTGTACACCGGCTGCCCACCACGACCTACAAGGGCCCATTATCTCGCTTTCACAACAAATTGCCTGGCCCATGAACAAGTGAAAGCCCAAAGTCTCTCTCTCTCTCTCGAGTCGCAATTCAAAGAGTAGATGAGCGAAGCGCAGCAGCTCCCATCGAAAACGAGTCGTGCAGAGCTAGGCAAGTTTGCAAGAGATATATTAATATATTGCTGCGGCCCACGCCACCGAAGTAGCAGCACCCCCCCCCCCCTCCAGTGTTTTAAACAATGCTGATGTTGAGCCTCTTGATTAAAATTTGTAGAAACAGTCGAGAAAAATATTAGCAAGGCAGATAGAGACTTCGCGGGTGCGTGCCGCGGTAATGCCGGTCATCACTTTTTTTTTTTTTCGCGCATGTTTTGACATCTTTTTCACCTTGTATTTTACTTTTGTTGTGCGCTAATGAACAGTAAAGTCTCTGAAAATGGTGGAGACTGTGTTAGAAAATTAATTGACCATTTGTCAAGAACTCTGTAAGCTTGTGTTGTTCAATTATCCTGCATACATGGGCACTTCTGAGCCAATATTTCCTCAAGATATTTTAATTTGGTGTTAAAGTAAGCATTACTGCTCATTCTAAAAGACTGAGCATGCTAACACAGACATGAGTCAAGTGGGTGTCTGTGGTGTCGCGATTGCTTTCTTGCGTCAGCGTTCGCATGCCCGGTCTTTCAGAACGAATACTTACCAACTAGCGCAGCTCTCTGCTGATTCAACTTGCCAGCACCTTATGTCCTCACAACCCATTGCTAACTGCCCTACCCCTATAGACCTTTTTCATAAATACGCCACCTGAAGGTAACTTTTCGTCAGTTTCGCTTCACAAAGGAGCGTGGGATAGCGCCATCATAAGGGCATGGAAAGCGAGCTGCCACATGCGTGAGTGCTGTGATGTTTGTGTTGGCGGCTAGTTCTCCGTATCATCCGCTGCAATCGCACCGCTTTCTACCCTGAACCAGCTTTTAGTACTCTCCGATAAGTCTTCTGAGCTGCTTCTGCTGCACAATGAGCAATATTTTGTACCCTTCAACGGGTTGGACGAGCAGTCTGGCTTGTTATGACTGGCAATGCATGGATACGGCCTGCAAAAGACTCTCATCGACGTGTCCTCCCGACGCGGTCTCCGTCCTGCAGGAACGCAAGGGTGTCTGTGTTGCCTGCAAGGAACGCGCATCAGCGTCGCTGCGACAGAGAGTCTGCGTCGTCTGCTGCGGTGCCGTCACAATGGCGGTAGACTTTTTTGTGTGCGCGGTGCTAGGGGCCCCTTTTTCAAAAAGTGTCTATTGTCGGCATCACCGACAAGCTCGCGGGAAGCACATCACCATGACTGGGGCCCAACTGAGCCTATTGTTCCTTGATCTCCTCACTCTTGTGAGGCAGCTCGCAAGGTGGTTCCGGCTGTATATCCAGTGGATTTTTAAGCACCGTATGAAGGAATGACTTCCTCAAAATCAAGCGTTTCTGCTGAAATATGCTTTGTTGAAGGGGGACGAGAGTTTTAAAATAGCACAAAATTGTAAATAGTGCAGATTTTCAAAATTTGCAATTTGAGGTATTAATAATCAAAAGTAGTTTTGCAAAAATTTTATATGGCAAAATACCACTTTATTGTTAAAAGCTTAATATATGAAATCACAAATGTTTTTAAAACTGAAAACGTAATTTTCTTGCATTGTTATTTTTGTGAAGTGAATGTGCCTTACAGAACTATTGAGCAAGTTTCCGTGAAGATATCTAAACAAACTTGGTACTATTCTTTTTAGCAGCACTTGAACTACAAGCTAAAGCTTTTCCTTTTCTTTCAACCTTAATACAATCGTAATTATACATGACAAATACCAGCTAATTACTGGAAACTCATTTTTACCTTCGAAGTTTAAAAATTATTTCTAATCAAAGATAGCCATTCTAACATCTAGTTTGCTTCAGCCTGTGGGATGAACCTTTTAGAGTAAACATGCAGTTTGAAAACAAACTTTTTAAATTGCAACTTACTGTAACGACCCATAAGAAATTACCTAATTATACTGTGAAAATTTGTCATTACTTTTTATGAGCTAAATCTGTTTGCAGATTTTAAATATCCATTGAATGGTTGATTTGATTGATTGATTTGTGGGTTTAACGTCCCAAAACCACCATATGATTATGAGACGCCGTAGTGGAGGCTCCGGAAATTTTGACCACCTGGGGTTCTTTAACGTGCACCCAAATCTGAGCACACGGGCCTACGACATTTCCGCCTCCATCGGAAATGCAGCCGCCGCAGCCGGGATTTGAACCCGCGACCTGCGGTCCATTGAATGGTATACATGCATGGTAATTTTGATGACATAGGATAATAATAAAAGCTTTTTAGGAACCTCCTTCCCCCTTTAAAATAAAAAGAAAAACCATGACAAATGTCCATACTGTAGACTCTCACTAGAAGGGACCATTAAAGGAGTTCCATTTAGCGAGAGATGACCAGAGATCCACAATACAAGAATGAAAACTAACCTTGTCAAAAGTTCCGTTTTAACAGATTTCCATTTACTGAGAGTCTACAGTATAGTATAAAATATTATACACGCATTGCTACTCAAACGCATCCAAGAATTCTTCAGTTGATACATGGCTGCACTTTCTTTTGGCCAAAATGTACAGAGCTTTACACTCAATAAACATAACACTTTTATGTACATAATTAGCATCTGTACGATGATAAAGATATCTGTGAATCCCCCCCCACACCTTGTTTTCTTTTTGACTGAGTGCCTCTAATCTGCTGTACCAGTGCCTTTTCTTTTATTGTGTACATTATCAGTTTGACTAGCTATTCATGTTGTTTCAATAACAGAACTGCCATGTGCCCACTACATCTTTTGTTTACTCTGCATGCCACGCCTGCCAACCCCAGCGTTATGTTCCCTGTCAGGCCTGATCTATGGCTTTTTTTTTTTTTGTCTGCACCCACCAAGTCAGGCCTGATCTATGGCTTTTTTTTTTGTCTGCACCCACCAAGCTCCATTGAGTGTCTTTGAAGCTGAAAATAAATCCTGGTTGATTGATTGATTCATTAATTGATAGATGTGACATGAAAACTCGCCGTTGACATGAGCACGTTCAAGTGGGTGAGTTGGTGGCTTCTATCTTGAACAACACTAGCAGACAAAAACGAGGACGAGAAGAGGAAACAGACTACAGACTACAGCACCGACACTCGAACTAAAATTTTAGGAATAAATAGCACCTGGAAAACTAAAAAACAAATAAAAAACAACCATTGCACGTGCACAATGTGACAAAAGAAACAACAGCTTATGTGACTGATGAGACATGAGATACACCTTGCGGTTGATGTTCAGAGCAGTTTCAATTATGGCAAGGCATCTTTTATCCTACAAGTTTACTCCAAGTTTTAAAACAATTATACCTTTGACTGCAGGAAAGCCTTCAGTCGTTCAATCCCTTCCAAGCTGTGAAACCTTAACTGCACTTCCGCACTCTCCTCCCTTCCTTTGCCATGCTGCCCCAACCCTTAAAGAGGCAGTATGAGACTAAAGGCCCTACTTTTAAAAAGGATAAAATTAACGCTATGCTAGACTGGTCCTCCCATTGAAGGGACACTACAGACAAAGGTGTGCCAGAATTTCGTCTCTTATTTTTTTGGGGGGGGGGGTGCACCCTGGCTACACCATGACCACATGGCCTCGCAGTGCCAATGAACATCCCTCATTCTTCTATGCTTTGATATCCACCAGAAATGCTCACGTGAGCGGCAAACACGACTATGCAAGATGCTTCGCGACAGAATATTTCTTTAAGATTTATTATTCGCTTTTGCACTTTGTATTCGATGAAAAGTCAATAGTACCACACAAGTAGTTAAATCAGTGACATCACACATACTTCTTCAATAATAAATGGAAGGAACTGACTCATACATATCAAGTGTCCACCAGTAACGAACCACTGTAGCTCTCACAGTACTATCATCATCTATGCGTTCACCATAAGGCATTCCCCTCTTAAAAGCAAGCAAGTACACAAATTTACCTTTTTGGTTGAAGCCAACAAAGTTTTGAAAGTAGAGTTTGTCAGCTTTCTGCCCACGTGAAGTGATAGTCAGCCATTGAGTACTTGCTTACATTGCCATATCTAACAGAATGCAGGGGCCTCAAAAAGCAGCAGAAAGGGCAGCTTAAATTTTAATTAACGAATGTATGGTAGCAATGGTATAATTTCTTGCATGTGAAATCCACTTTTTATTTTCAAATGTAGTTTTATGCTCCAAGCAGAAAACAACAGGCGAGTGATGTATTCATGACAGTATGCAATGACTGAGTGTATCTACTATGACCTAACTATTCCATCAGTGGCCATAATTTTTACACATGGTTCACTTAACACACACCAATATTTCAGCATTGTCATTATCAAAAGGTGCCACTGTAAGAACGTATTGCAAAATCTTACCCTGTAAGCTTTAGCAATAATTAATCCTTAATATATGTGTGTGTGTGCGTGTATATATATATATATATATATATATATATATATATATATATATATATATATACATACACACGCGCGCCCATGGTTTATTTTTTGGGGACTTGAAAGCATTGTGTGCTTTACTATGTACATTTAGGATGGGCAACATAAGCTAAGAGGATGAACGAAAATTGCAGCTTATGCTATATGATAATTCTAACTTAGAAATAAGAATTAGGTGGGATGATGCAGGCAATGTCCATACACAACAGTCAATCTCTTTCATTCACACAGGGCAGTTGTCGTTGCAGAGTCCGGGAAAAGAGTGTGGTAGCTCACGACTGGGACATATGCTGCTGTAATGATTCGGCCTGAAACGAAGGAAGAGGACGAATAACAATTTGTTTGTGTAAATACAAACAAGTTGAAACAATTTTACAAACTTCTAGTCTACTGTCATGAGAGCTAAGAGACAATGATACCACGAAAGTATAGGAGATGTACAAGAAGTAATTGTACTGTAAATGGAAGAAAAAAAAGTGGATGAAAGGATGACTTGCCACCGGTAGGGACAGAACTTGTGACTTCCGAATAACCCGCTCAATGCTCTACCTACAGCTCTATAGGCATACCTGCTCCCAGATTCAATTCAAGAATTCTGAATCCAGGAAACGCGATAGTGGGGTTCCCAACCACAAGTGCAAAGTCGGCGTCGCAATGGCTTGGAGTGGCCGCACACAAGAGGGTAGGGTTTCCCACTAAGGCGAGAGTCTTAAAGGGGAGCACAAATACAGGTGACTCCCGATAATTCGAACCCGCTTAATAAGAATTTTCGGTTATTTAGAAGTCAACAAGTGGTCCCATTAATTTCACATGCACCCTATAAAAAAAATGCTCAATAATTCAAATCTAAAAGCCCGTAATGTTCGTTAATTAGAAGTTCTTCACTTGAGAGCCCCGAAGCAACCGAATTTTTCAATAAAATTGAGAATTTTTCATGTACCAAGACTGCCAAGAGCTTCGGACGTGCAGTGTTTGTCATCCCCACCGCCCCCCGTAGCACTTGGTTTATGAAGCGGCCATCTTGTTTAGTCAACGCTGGGGCACATCGCATTGATTGCATCAGCTAACTAGTGATTTGTTGAGTGCTTCAGCTGCACGCTGATTTGAAGTCTCGTTGAAGTTAGAACAGCGCGACTGAACGCTGGCGGAAAAGAACCACACACAGCCTGTGCATGTGCTAGTGTGTTCCGCTCTGTTTGCATCCAGTTACACTGTTTAAACACAGCGTGATAACCAACTAGCCCGCCAACAGACTGTTAGTTGATTCCGCACGTGCTTCCACAGCTGATTTTGAGGTTCTGGTGGCGACGTAGGATAATGGCAACTTGCGGCCCCTACGAACACTTAACCTGGTGACCTAAGTTTCACCTTGAAAGAAGTTGACCAGGGAGCACCACCATGCACGTAAGCCTAACTCGCTCTTGAATTTCACCAAGTGCAAACAGGTGAACTCGACGAGGGTAGGTTTGGGGCCCTTCTTAGTGATCCGTTTTAAAAAATTCATTAACATAAACAGCGACGTCGACACATGCGGTCCCCTGACAAACAGAAATTGTGCAGATGGTTAGGCTAGTGAATGACGACGTAGAAATGAATCGCCACTAAGGACTACCAATGATTCTGCTGTGGGTCTTGTCTTGCGCTACGTTTTTATGTTTTGTTGAAGAAAACAATGCTAAAGAAGCACTTCAATGGTGTAGTGCTTGAAAAACTTCCTAGCAGCAGCCAGGTTCGGCAGGAGAAGATGATACACTTTTCTTTAAGAACTGTCAGGTTTGAAGCAGTAAAAGTGCGGTTTTTCATGCATTTTGCTGAATTGGAAGTTCGTTTAATTTGAAGTTTCTTTGCGGTACCCGTGAACTTCATATTAACGGAAGTGGACTGTACTCCCGAAATTTTGCGTCATGAAAACAACTAAAAAAATTATTTCCATCCCAACAACTCGCGTATGTCTTCCTGGGACACACGTGAAGGACAAGACGCCGCAGCTGGCTGCTACGAAAGCGTGAGTCAAAGCTTTGCTCGTTACTACAGGTTTGCCGCTCAGTTTAATCCAAGTACCAGCCATTCATCTGAATGCCAAGCTTTTAATCCGAGGGCCAGGGATTAAAATGGTGACATTTGGATTAAAATGGCTGGTGCAAGGATTAATCAAATGGCACATGGTAATATTATTCCAATGGCACTGGGATCATTGGCCTTCGATTAAAGGCATTCAGTTAAATTGACTGGCGCCAGGATTATTTACTGGCACTTCGATTAAACTGAGCAGGAAAACCTGTAGATTCCTTGGACAGGAATGCTAAAACCCTTCTAGCCTTTTCACGCTTTACTGCCGCTGCGTTATCCGCGTGCGCTCGTAGCTCGTAGATCCCTATATCGCATCGCCGCGATTTTATACCGACGGTTGAGGCAACGATACAGTTCCACTCCTCTTAAACGAAAGTCGAAGGGGATCCATAAACTGTTCCATTTATCAGAAGTTTCATTTAAGCAAAGAACACTTATTTAGTGAATAAAAACCTTCATTCAAATTGCACGAACCTCCCCTTACTCATGAGGACGAGTAGGAGAAAAAAGGAGTGAAGGGTGGTTTGTTTGGCAATCTTGAGTTCTTTTTTCACAAGGTATGCCCTATGCCTGACAAACTAGCCAGAAATTCTGGACAAGCCTCATGCTCAAAATAGTGGTGCAAAAGTTCAACAGCCTTTTTAGCTGATCGGTCTGGTGGCACCACTCCACTGGCAATATTGTCATCACTTCATCGCTGGAAGGTTGATCCTCATCTTGCACTTCGGCAATCATTTCCTTGACAGTCTCCTTACAACAGGTACGAACATTTTCATCAATTGATTCGTAGTCCTGCAGCGTGAAAGGGGAAGAGGGCACGACCTCACTGAATACTGCCTCAATGTCGGCATCAGCAGGGCTTTCTTCTATCAGGTAACCGCTTGCACTTGAAAGCCAGCATGAGAAAGCATCTGTGTTTGTTGTTGCCTTCACTTTCTCCCAGGCACGAGCCAAAATGTGGATGGCTGCCAATAAATCTATGCTGTAGCATTTCCCACTGTCTGCACAAAGCACATTCCATGAAACAATTGTCAGCGGTAATGAATTTTAATGTTCTGAATAACCCTTTGATCCATCAGCTGGGTCACTGCCGTTGCATTGGCTGGCAAGAACTCTATAGTGATGGCTTGGAGTTTATCAACCTGACCGTGGCTGGGCAATTATCCACGATGAAAATAACCTTCCTGCCATGCCTCGTAAATCTTGCGTCTTCCTCCCGTAGCCAGTTTTCGATAATGGTCATGTCATCACCACCCTCTTCCGTTCGCATGGTACGCAATGGGAAGTGTCAAACGCCTTTGAAACCGTGTTGCCTTGATTTTCCTATTACCAATAGCTTCAATTTCTCAATCTCCTGCCATGTTTGCACCCACCAGCACAGTGATGCAAGCTTTACTGTGTTTTCCTCCACTACAGGCTTCGCCTTTGAAGGTGAGAGTCTTTGATAGAAGCGCCTTATAAAAAAGACCCATTTCGTCGACGTTGAAGACATCTCGTGGCTCAAAGCTCATCAAAATTTCCTTGCGCGGCCCTGTTGCCAGTCGATCCAAATGTCCCTGTTGACTGCAGCGCTCTCACCCGAGATTGCTTTGAAGACTAAGCCATGGGGTGTTTTGAAGCGGCTGGGCCATCTGTCGCTTAGGACGAAGTTCTCAACACCCATTTGCATGGCGATCTCTCGAGCTTTCTGCTCGAGCGTTGGTTCGCTTATGGGCAAACTGGAACTCCGTGCACACTTGAACTACAGAAAAAGATCTTTTTCAAGTTGTTCATAAGGTGTCCCGCATCCGTTTAAATGTAAAGGTCCCGTTCTTTACACCTCCTTCAATCTTTTCTCCGTTTTCGCAGACCCGCGACAGCGTCGATTTCGGATGTCATATTTTCTCGCCATTTCCGTCTTAGGCAGGCACTTTGATCGAGCTCCTGAAGAATTGCAGCTTTTTTTTTCAAGTGAGTGTATGTTCGGCCGCTTCCTTTCCACCTGGCTGAAATAACGCCGTGATCCACCGCACTAGCCGCACAAATAGACCTAACACACAACTGACTCGCCGACTCTACTCCCACAGCCACAAGTGAAACTGCTGCTGGATTGGCTTTTTCAAAGTGATGCCATGGTTGTGAGACTACCTTTCGCCTGGGAGTCCCACGTAGTTCCGTTTTTAACATGCGTGTGCTCGCTGCAAACGTTCCTATAAATAAATCGTTTATGACATCTATGATCGGACCTGCCACAGTTTTGTCCACAGAGTTTACGGAAAGTAGCGTTTCTTTGACTGGTTGAGCGTTGGACACGCACACACTTTCAGATTTCTATCAGTAACTTGTCGCGATACATGATCGTGTCAAGAACGACTGCGATTTGTCGTCATAGAGGTTTAGCAACTACAATTACACGCATGTAGAAGACAGTGCCGTCCTTATATATCATATCAATAAAAAAAAAAAACAGTGCCGTTGTGATTAAGGGGGGACGTGGCAATGAAAATAATCTGTGTTATTTATGAAGCCAAAGATTGAAATTCGGCATGCAGATGTGATTTGTTGTGCTGATATCATAACTGAAATCAGTTTTGAGCTATCTAATATAACTTTAAAGTTACAACACCTGATAGACTCTATTTGTCATCCCAAAATTAATTAGCTAATTAGACACAAGTTCGTCAAAATTTTTACATAAGGATATTTACAAAGGTCCACTTTGTGCCGTAATGCAATTGGTTTTTTTAATATTTAAATAAACACAAAAAAAAATTTTGTGTGTCTATTTTTTGTGTCCTGGACATATTGTCTTACCAAAACTTTTACAAAAAGCCAATTACAAAAGCCTGTATGGACACAAATGGACAGCTTTACGGCACTCACCAATGTCTAACAATCTAAGTGCAGAAAACAGAATGGTTGTAGCTTAATTTGCTGTGAAATGGCACAGGGATGACTGACAACAAGTGCTCAAAAAATGAAAGCTGAGAAATGGAGCTCAAGAAATTGGAGCTAGAAGCTGATATAACGGAAGTCGGAAGGAAGCTGGCTTTATTTTTCATTGGAGAAATACCGTATTGATTCTATCTTGAGCTCCACTCGGTCCTCTTTACGATGAATGCCAATGGTGGTACTGCGCCAAGGTAAGCTACAACATTTTTCTATGCCCAATTTTCACATAGCTTTTGATGACAGCCCACCAGTAAAATGCTTGTTTCTCAACTTCTACTACTTATTTTGGTCTAAAATCACACTATTATGTAAACATGGTCTCAGGATTACAGAAAAAACTAATTGAAACCGAACATTTTGACTAAATTTACTATACCCATTGCCACATCCCCCCTTGAGAAAAGTGTTCGGAACATTCGAATTTTGGCTCAATGAACCCAGTGGAAATTAGCTAAGAAATTCCACGAATTTGTATCTGCTGCGGTTTCGCATCATTGAGATTCTACTGTACGTTTAGATGAACACCTCTTAAATTAGTTTATAATAAATGCGGTGGTTCGCAAAAAGCCTGGAGCGAATTGACCTGCATTTTAGTCAATGTGGCCAGACCATGCACAGAAATTTCGATTTCTGGGAGATTTTCACGACAACTGTATGAACAGAACAAACGGTCGAAATCAAGGACTCTCGCAGATAATCCGGCAGACTTGGCAGGTATGTATATGGTTCGGTCCCTGCCACAAGTGAGTTTCCTTGGTATCACTGTTTGTTAGTTCTCATTAATATTGTCTCTAACAAAAAAAAAAAAAAAAAACAGCCCTTAAGTTTACGCTTAGTTCCTTAAAATATGGTGAGTGATACACCTGCAGTTTGACCTTTCATGCAGGCAGAATGTGGATTCAGAGCATTTCTAGCACAGAAGTCAAAACTCAATTTGTGTATTGTTAACGCTTCACTGCATTTGTAAAACAAGATCGTGGACCACGTTACTCTGTTCATTTAAAACAGAAATTTACAATAAATACCTCATGAACAGATTGTTCTAACGCGTTCGAGAGAACTTTACTTTTATAGTATCTAAAACTTATTAATTTGACGACCGCAATCATGACAATGGCTTTTGCTATTCTGAATGGGAAAATTTTTAATTCGAAGCAAGAAATCCATGGTTTCGAACAGTAAATTAAAAATACATGGTGGGCGCTAGAGCCGATGTTTTGATAAGCGAACTTCATTTTTTCTCAAAAGTGCAACTTATTTCCTTGGAGCTTGTGTGTGCATGCTTAGTACCCTCTCCTCCTTGAAAAATACAAGGCCACTTGTCGAAACGTTAGCTCCAGCACCCCCCGGCTTTCACATTTTTCATAGCAAGCTTCCATCTTTTCTCCTTGCCTTTCTCATGGTTTCGAACAGTAATACATCACTCACGCACATATAAAAAGCTGTGAATATGCCAGATACATAAAACCACACACTTAAATAAATTTTTGCATTTACAGTCGCCGACCGATTTTTCGGACCTGGCGGGGACCGAAAAAAGTACGAAAAGTCGAACAGTCCGAAAATGCGTTTTCGCCAAAAATCTGAAGTTTATTGCATCAGGCAGGTTTAAAAAGTCGTTGATGCTGCCTTGCCTCAAACTACGCTTGGAGGCAATTTGGTTTGCCCGTATTTGCGCCAAGGTGACATCGTCGCCGTAAACGCTCGACAAAATTGTCACCGCGTTGGCGATCTCCGCCACCGACGGCTGCGGGCGTCGTCATTGTCGTCATCCGAGCCGCTCTCCGGCTCCGGGACAACCTGGCGAAGAATTTCGTCGTCAGTGGCCTCCGCGCACGAAACAATGTCGTCGTCCGCACGAGTGAAGTCTTTAAATGTCATTGTGGCAGGTAGAGAATCCTTCTTTCGCCTCTTCCCCGTGCGATGTGATGACGATAGTGCTGACCGAAGACGAAAAAACGGCATCCGTCACCGCGTCTTTTAAAAAGCAAACACGGCCTCCGAAACTTGAAATATGGCGTGCGCATTCCAATCTCGAGGCAGGAAAGGCATTTGAGACCAAGCTTAGCCAAGCCGACGGAAAATCCAACATGGCGGCGTTCACAATGGCTTGGCGTGGCACAAACGAGCGATTTAGTCCGAAAATCGAACTTTCAGGGGCAAATTCGCCCGAAAAATCGGTCGAAACAATGCATTAGCTCTATGGGATCCCTGACGGTGCATTTATGAAGTGCTGAATATCCAACAAGTCCGAATTTTTGGAGTCCGGAAAATCGGTCGGCGACTGTATTTGTCACATTGCTGACTGGTTTGCATTGCATTAAAGAAAAAGCAATAATAAAATTATAGCACATTTTTGAAACAGATGCTTTTAGTTTTCCATACACTTTTCATATAACCACCCGATGGAATACCAATGGACACACATGAGCATCCAGCAGCTCACCATAAAACATCTTTCGCAGGAATGCAGCCACTCGGTTGCTAGCTGCCTGTTAAGTCATGACTCTCAAGTGCGTCAATGTTGCCCGACTATCAGAGCTCACGTTTATAAAAATGCTGTTGTAAATTAGTGCTTGACCAAAATAAAATTACTAAAATACCAGCTTATTTTTTAATACCAAGATTAACCACATATAAAAATTGGATGTCATGGTCCCCCTTAAAGAACAGTTCCTGCCACACTGAAGGAAGGTTTATGCCTCTACAATGCCAAATGCCACATTTTACTTGTAATGTGCTATGAAGTTATTCTCTCAAATACACATAAACAACTGAGCAAGAATGGGAAAACGAACTCACCAGCAAACCAACGCCCATGCAGCGCATTGACAGAGGCTACTGCTGAGGCAATGGTTGGGCACTTGACGTACACGTGTCCCTCAGGTGATGCCCGATCTACGTAGACATGTAGAGCTCCACCATGCTTGCGGCACTCCTCTATTACATCTCGTCTAATCTCCTCGTCCCAAGAAGGATTTGTTTCAGTCAAAGGATCGAACATGTTGACAGGAGAAACACTGCGTGGCTATTGTTGGTGCAGCTGCGGCTGCCACAGCAGCTGCTTGAGGCTGTCCTGGCAGGATTGCGGGGTTCATTTGAAGCGCGTTCACTGCTGCTTGGGGTATCTGGAACCCTGTGCCTGCAAGTGAAAATAACACATATCAATGACCTTGCTGCGCTGTATGGCCTGCGATGACTCCCAGCCAAACTGATACTTCGTACTCGGATTCACAACCAAGGCCAACCACTTAGAAAATTGCAATGAATTACGTACACGCTAATATTGCTGTTGGAAATTTGATAATTCAATGCAAAGCCCTTTCAGGGTCAATGACGTAGATGCATGTTTTCCGCAAACACTTTTAGCAGCATTTCGGCGGTAGTTGGAATGCATTGCACCGATTTGACATCTTTTGCGAATTCGGCAGCGACCTCCAGTTTGTAAAAATTAAACTCTGCTGCTAGAAATTCTGCCCCTTTTCACCATAACCTGCGACCATGGTTTCAGGTACTGTGAACTTCACATCAAAAAGACTTTTTCACTGGATTATCTTATAACTATAATAATAAGCGTAGACTGCATAGGTTCTCATCATTTTCTGCACTTAAGCAGCATTTTGATGTATCAAACTCGTGTATATAAAAAAATAAAGAACTATGCAATTTACAATACAACTAAAGCCCAGCTGTATGAAAACCTCTGCCCCATTTTCATGGATTACAAAACAGAGTAAGAGGACATGCAGCCATGACTCTGTTACTATGACTTAAAGGTTTAGAAATGAAAAACTGTGCTTTTGGAAGAATTTATTGTAAAATAAGTTACCTTTTTCACATACTTGCTAACACTGTACTGGCATAGTTAAACGCACTTGCCATGAAAGTGCATTTCCTCAAAGATACAGGTTTTGTGGCATGTAATAAGAATGTATTAAGAATTACCATAACAAGACATTGTTGGAATGACACATATATAATATATATTGATCTGATTGGTTCATATTACTAAAACCCTTTAATCTCACTGGGCATAGAAACATGCCTTACAATGCCATCATTCTCAAGCTGCAAAGGTTTCCTCAAAGTTGGCCACCGTGAACTCTTTCAGAGGCTCTGTGACAGCCTATTGGATGATGTGAACACCGTTGAAATGGTGACCTTCCAGGTTCTCTTGAGCTTTGGGAACAGGGGGAACTCGCAACCCATAAGAACTCGCATCAGGGCTGCATCAGGGCACAGGCAATACCAAAACTAAGCTCATTGAGCACGCAGAAAATGCGTCAGACTGGAACTTGTCGCGACAAATTTTGGTCATGCAGCTCTGCCGTAACTCTATGGGAGAGCTTGTGCACATCCGTGGGGTGGGGTGGCGTCCCCGCATAGGGCAGATTATTGCGTATGCGGCTGTCGGTGTCGCTGCGAAATATCGTGGCATGTCACCACACAGGTTTCGCCGTATGTCTGGTTATGGCCTCCGAGATGTCGGGCACGCATCGCGTTTCTCTTCAGCCGTTGCAATTGCTACGCTCCCCAGCAAAACCAAGGAGTATTGCCGCGCGTGCCCGGCTACCGTGAAAGGGCACATTGAGTGAGGATTAGGCGGCGGCTGAGACCATGGCATACAGCAGAGCAGACGAGATTCCAGCGTGCGTATGTTTTTTTTTTTTTTCGCCTACAAGCAAGAATCACTGCCAGGATCTTCTGGCTGAACTGAAAGAGAGTATTTATTTCTCTTACTGCATTTATTTTGGTCATATTTGCAAATACAAGCAAGGCAACTGCTGCATTTCCCTGATAGGTAATTGTAAGGAGGCATCAATTCATCTGTGGCAGTATTATTTTTTTCTTTACTGCCCGTTTTGTCTCTGTGCTGAATACCTCGATTTAAAGAAACAGACGCATTCAAGTATTCCTCCTTTCCTCTGGTGACCTGTATGGGGAAGACTGGACTAATTATCATCGTTGAATCATATTGCTCTCCGATCCTGACCCATACTTTTACTATTATATTGCCTAAGGACATTTAGAGGTGGTCAACCGAAGAGTCATTAAAAAGAGTGCATATTGTTACTGCTATGTATTACCACAGTGTTTTACCATACCAGGTATATCAAATTCTGAACGTAAGTTGCGTACTTGTTGAAAAAGCAAAGCATTTTGATGTTTGTTCTTACATTGCCCAACGTATCCACTGAACACCGTAAAATTCACAGTGCGAATGGGCGACCATAAGTGACCAAAACGTACCTATAACCAGCCCATGGTCGTCGCTGAACCCCCGACCCTGCCGCAACGCCAGAATTTGTGCTTGCATTTGCCCCTCTTCCCCCCACTCTTTTTTTGCGATATTTTTCTTCCCTGTTCTTTTGGTGCCGAAATTGGGAGAAAATAATTTAACGCGTCAATTTGACTTATGGCGACAAAACATGATTATGCTTGTCGCTAAAGACAAATCCATCACAGCTACAATTAAAAAAAAGTCTGTACCCCCCCTCCCCCCTTTCCACTCGGAGGTTTCATGAATTTCTGTGTTGCCAGGTTGGCAGCTATGCGCAGCGTATTGGTGTCTCATACTTGAATGTCTCTTATAAAGAAGTTTGACTGTACATACCGTATTCGCGTAATCCTCGCACTCGTACAATTCTCGCACCCCCTACATCGCCCAACAAAAATACGATTTCTTTTTTTCCTCGAGTAATTATCGCACCCCCGAAAACTGCTGCAATAATGTCGTCTGCTCTTTCCAGCCACTGATGATGATAGCGCACGTCATCTAACGCCATCTCTTAAGCATCAAGCGTACTATTGCACAGCGATTCAATCTAACTCAAGCCAAGCCAAAGTGGCCTGTGCGCGTTGCGGTGTGTTTTGTATGTTGCGTCGGTAACCTTGTCAAGTTATGAGGCGATACTGAAGCTGTATGGCTGCTTTCAAGTTGCAAGTGATAGATAATGCACTAAAGAACGGCAACAGGGCCCCGGTAGGCCCTTGGATTGATGGTAAACTTTATTTCTTAAGAAGGAAACTGCGGACAATTCTGTTAAATAGCCATCAGCCCAATACTGACGTCCCACGCTTACCTTTTGAGGGCTCCTGTTGAGCGACGAACGCTACCGCAATGCCCGCAACGTCTGCAAGCTTTGCGTATGGTATTGTAATTCTCGACTATTTGCTTCCACTTTTTGTGCCTCAATTAAATCTTGTCTAGTGTTGAACCTCTGCTTTTATTGTTGAGGTAAGTTTTAATTAGTACTTCTTCAAGCTTGCTGTTAGTTTTGGTGTGAGAATCCCGATTTGCGGCCACTTCGTTTCCTTTTTCGCTCTGTACGTTTTCGTAGAAAGTTTTCCCCGCGTAATTCTCACACCCCCCAACTTTTCACCGGTTTTCCGGCAAAAAAAAGTGCCAGGATTATGCGAGTAAATACGGTAATATGTCATACCTTGCAAAATTCACTTGATCTAAAAGCGCTGGCATGGCACAAATAGGTAGTTGAAGCAAAAGGCCGCGCACTCGGCGCGGCATCTGCTGTGGCGCGCGCACACCTCCCATGAGCATTAGCGTGCCTGTTGGCGACGCTCGCGTGGTTGGAAAAGGTTCATTTGAAGCTTGCTGGAGTGACAGCTCAAGAGAGACTGAACCAGAAAACTGCACAAAACTTGCACAAGCTTTCAAAGCATGAAATGTTATTTTTTGATCAATGTGTCATGAGAACAATTTTTTTTTTTTTTTTTGCATCCCATGTTGATGTCACCAGCGCAGGAAACAGTCAGCCGATGCTCCCGTTTGATGAGGCATCTCGGGCTTTTGCCTTAACAATGAAAACAATCAAGAAGGTCATAGAAAACAGCATGAGTAAACAACACAGCAGAGTAAAGAAAGACTGGAAAACTACATTGCATAAGCGACAAAACGTTAATGTGGTTCGGCGCCTTAGTGAATTATAAACGCAAAAACACGAAAACGAGGACGAAGCCAAGTGAAGTATTTCTTGATCCTCAGAATTAACCCAATTCTTGGCAATAATTCATTCAAACTGACTCTTGGTTTCACAAATACGAGGCAATAATAAAAGTCTTCGTATACAAATGCCAGATGTATATCCTGAAAGATTTTGTATACGCTGTCAATATTTGCAACCACAACTTTCCTGCGACATGTTAAGATCCATCCCAGAGCCCTTGAAGGACTCTGTATCACCAACAAATTTTCACTATATGCTTCAGGAAAAAAGAAGCATGCTTTTATCGTGAAAACATATCTCACAGCTGAAGCATGCATTTGTTTCCATCGAATTTCTAGCTTCAAGACCTCATTCGACACTAACAGCACTGTATTAGAGCTCCCCTGAAATACCTTACAAGTAACGTCACTCTGAAGATTTTCAACCTTCACGGATACACTTAATGACAATTAGCAGTTCCAACGCGAGTTGTACCATTGCAGTGCCGAGGCTGCTCCGGTGCCTGCGCACAGGCGAGGGCACTCTTGGTGAGCATTATGTTGGTAAGATTGTCTGGCCAAATGTTCCTGTTGACAGTGACAGCAACGTGCAGTGTTTGTCCTGCCCATCGGTCATGCCACAAGTGGTGCACCAGCAAAGTGCCACAAATTGGTGGCTCTCATCAATCTAAAACATATAAGACTGGTGTGCCCCCATGGTACGTTTTAAGCACATGCAGGAAAAGTACGAAAACAACATCAGGCAGACCAAAAGCGTGGAGCCATTGTAAACAAAAGCTAACAATGTTTTGAAACAAAAATATGAATCGAGGTGGTTTAGAAGGCCTTTGAGAAAAAGCAGAAGTATGAATACCGGACCTCATTCCAAAAGTTCTAAAATGTGGCAAATTCAATGGGTTGAAAAATGGGTAAGGTAAAAAAATTCAGCAGGCAGAAAAGGATGAGATGCCAGTGTAAGCTGTATTAAGGCAAAAGCCTTTAATGTCTTATGCTCATGTCTGCGCATTCCTGTTCGAACCTAGAAAACTCTGCCTTTGTTATGATGAAGACC